CACACCGCATCATTGATGCCCAGTGAGGAACTCTCCACTGTTTCCAGTCAGCTCCACAATATACTGTAGATGTTGCAACACTTTTTGTATTTTTTTGTTTTGATCGATGATATGGCTAGGACCAGACGGGCTCGGCTGCAAGGTGAAGATTGTGAATATGTCAACGGATTGCACCGGGGAGCCCAACGAAGATGGGCACGAAGCCTCAGCGTGTCAAGAGACTGCGAATCGGGAGACTCGCATGGGCGCGCATGGCCATTGTGGCCGCTGCTTTAGAGATATCAAATACCTAGACCCTCCTGAGGCAAGCATTTTTGCAGACTGTTGCAAGTTTGATAATTAGTCGCTATATAGGTATGTAAGTGAATGGTGAACACCTTCATGGTGGTGATTTCGCAACAAGTTTGTGTGTGGTGATTTTTTGCTGGACTGTTGTTACCAAGACCATGTATCGGGTTGTCGCAACCATGAATAACGTCTCACCGGCACCTCACCTCCAATTCGGGTGGGGATAGCAGGCCACGTTTCAATCCGTTCACCAAGCATATCTCAAAATAGTACAAAAAAAAACTCTGCATGATTCTGGGTGCAAAGTGGAGCTGAAGCATTTCATGATATTACAATAGATCAAGTAATATATCATAATATCATGAATCATGTTCGATGCGGATGCGATGTGTCCTTTTGCGCGGGGGAGCCCCAAGTGCTACTTGTTTGACCGGGGCAAGGGCTAGCCATGGCTGGGAAGAGGCTATGACCTTGGAAATCAAGCCTTTTTGAGCATGGATGCTGAAGTAATTAGTGCAGCTCTGTTGAACTCTGCCGGTTTTCAGCAAGCTCGGCTCTTCTCTCCACCCACAGCAAGTGCAGTTTCACATCATTTACACTCTGACGAACACATCACATGTACAAATGAAAAGAACCTCCTGTATTCAGTGGACCGTTTCCAAGGGATCCCTTTCCACTTCGTGTAACGTCTTTGAAGGTAAGTGTGTCACGTGTTCTCTTCCCCCCACCCAAACTGGCTTCTGGGATCTCCACCTTTCCGTTTCCCCCCAAGCCGAAGGGGTTCTCCACCCCATCATTCCAAAGACAAAAACAAGTATACCTTGCAGTCGTAGAACAGCGGCTTGAGCGACCTTGTTCTAACGTTGACCTCCGTAAACACACTTCGACCCGCCTCCTCGCCCATGTCGCTCCGTTCCCCGGTCCGGCGCGTCGCGAGGGGCCGAAGCGCCGAGGTTCTTCAAGTCGCTGCTGATCGCGGATCCGGCGCCTGCCAGCAACAGCACCTCTGCCAGGCAGCTTTCGATCGCTTTCGATCGTCATCCAACTTTGGATGCGAAAAGAACAGAGTAGCGCTCCGGGCCCAAATGGGGTCCGGAGTGGTGGGGGCCTTTGGTTGGGCAAACATCTGGGTGGGGAAGGAGGAAGATCCCCAAAACAGCACACTTCTGACTGCTAGTACTTTCAACGAGGAGGATCCACAAAGCAGTATTATGTGAGAGAAAGAGAACGACTCTTGCAGCTTTTTGAGAGTTTCAGCTGATGCACCATACAATTCACAGCCAAGGGTGAGTGGCAATGCAAACCCCAAAAACTTTCAACGCACATTTCACCCCAACCCCCCCTACTGCCATCCGCTTCCTTCCACCCTGCTTGTTCCACACTTGTCACCCGACCCTAACCCCCAAGACCACGTGTGTTGGCGTGTTGGATGAGGTTCTCTTTGGGGCAAGTCACTGCCGGCGGCATCTTGGCGGCGATGTTGACGACGTCTTCGTCTTTAGGACTCGAAGTATTGTGGGTCGTTCCAATAGTGGAACTAAGGGAGTCTCAGTGGGAGTCTCGTGGAGTACCAGTCCCAGTGATCTTTTTCAGCGGACACATGCACCTTGAAATATCTTGAAATTGATGTTATCGAGGAGTTTCTTGATGCCACGGGTCTGAGAACGCAGACACTGGGTGTGAGATCCGTAGCTTGACCATGCACTCTCCAGGTTCCTGGTTCGCGGTGTCATGTGTCTCCCTCCACGATCCGTTGCAGACACACGCTCGCCGACTGCCAACACCGTCGAGAATGACATTGTCAGCACTAAGAAACAGACAATCCGTTGCAAGGGAGCAGGCAGGTAACGATCATGATTTTGTCCAGACGTGTGCCTTGGGTCTGTTGCCCAAAGAAGGATGTCAAAGTAATTCGCCTATCGCTGAGTTGACCTCTGGTACCCCACAGATGATCGTAGATGTCAAGATGTCATGAGTCTCTTCTCTCTTCTCTCAAACGAACCAATACATTTTATTTGCATGTACAGGGTTCTTGGCCCATCCCTTCGTTGTATCCCGAATCTTCGAAATCGCAAATTGTTCGATCTCTTCATTCCGCGGACTATCTTCTCTTTCGAAAAGCGCGCCAGCCATGTCACGTGTCAGGCCGTAACGCACCCCCCCCCCCCAGTCTCGGCGGTCTAAGGGACCTTCAAGGTGTGCTACTGCGCGAGTTTTGAGGCCTGCAATTCCTTAGAGCCCGGAAGCCCAGTAAAGATCGGTTCCGGACCGGACAAGACAAGAGAGTCGGGACATGTCGAGACGGTTGGGACCTGCAAGGCAAAGAAGTATATATATATATAATAAAGTACAATAAGTTATACATCTTGGCATATCTTGGCATATTATTTTTATATCCATACATTGTAGTATATACAGGTGAACATGATCGATCAAGGTCAAGCCCCTGCTTCTGAGGCTGCAGATTTCTTGGGAGCAGTAGCGGGCCAAATGTCAATGCTCAACGGCAAACATCCCAAGAAATGGGATAGCTGTGGCCTGTGGAAACAAGTTTTTCATTGTTTTTCTGAAATCAGCAGCTGCCTGAAGAGCTGAGTGTCTTCTGCATGTTCTGCGCAGGACCTTCAATCATCAAGCCGGCGAACTGGCCCCGCGTCTGAGATGGGGGGCTGGAGCGTTGTCGAGTCGAGTGGGGGTTCAGAATCATCTGATATGATGACTCAAAAGATCTTCAATCAAAAGTAAACCAGCTGAAGCAAGCTCGATTCATATGAATCCCAAACTGGGAAAGGACCCAAAACGGTGAGCCTGTGTTTGGCTGCTGCTGCTGCTGCTGATCTTAAAAATACGAAACTTTTCAGCAGACACGTCACGAGCTGCTCGACACGTCACCGAGGTGGTGGTGGATCCTTTGTCGGATCTCAGCATTTTCTCGGCCAATGTGGCCTCGATCACCATCCAGGCGGGGTGGCCTAGGCCACCCCACCGACTTGCTTTGGGAGAGTTGGGATCTGCCACGTTGGAAGTGCCAGAAATTGGGGACATCTACATGGGGGCAACATAGCATTTTGATGCATTTGGTGTAGGTTTAGTTATGGTTTAGTCATGTTTCCTTCCCCTGCATCCCGGAGGTCGGAGAAACACATTCATTCACCTCTTGCATCCGGGTGGACCTCCAGCTGTCGGTCTGTTCGGTGTCCCGGGGCCGTCCAAGGATAAAACGAGGTCGGGTGATTTCTTATGATTGTTGACTCATTCGAATTCTATTGACTGAGGCCGGATTTGGTTCAGAATCCCCTAGCAACTGAGTGGAGATTCTATGGTTGGAAGACTAGCTTTTCACAAGTGGTTTGCATGTTCAAACCCCGGTTTGATCCTCTGGAAGAAGGGGAAAATGGACCAACACCTCGTACGCTTGGTGGTCGGCCCCGTGACGGAGATCCGGTCGCGCAGGTGCACTCCGCTCTGGAGGGCACCAACTCCCGGATCCGTTGTGCGACTTGGAGCCCGAACAGCGAGGGGAGCCGAACCTGAGGATCGACCGAGGACGTGAGGACGTGTGTGAGGTAGGTGCAACTCTTGTGGGGACATCGAACAAAGACTCGTGGTAAAGCAAACACACTTCAACCATATTAGCACTTAATTGTATTTATATTAGAGTACCTGGGTGATCCTGGGTTCGATTAAGTCGTCTCCAAACAATCTATCATGATCTATCACCTAAAAATGCCGCAATGGTCCGCATCACCATCCCCGTTGCAGACGCCACGTTGGCGTCCATGTGGCGTCCAAGCTCGCCCCGACTGAGGCCACCTCGGAGTACGAGCCTTCCTTCATGCCCTCTGGGGCAGACATTGCGAATGGCCAGCGCCCCTCACCGATGCGTCACCGACGTCACCGATGCGTCGCCACAGATTTGGTAGGATCATGAAGGATCCGGTCGGACCCCTCAGACTCATTAGGAACAAGACGCTAGTAGTAACAAGTGCCACGCTACTAGTAACAAGTGCCTTACTAGTAGTAACAAGAAGCTAATTCATACAATTCATATGCCAAGTCTTCGCCGTTTCGACTCCTGAATCTGTTTTTGGGAGCTGAGAAAAGGGCACCTGGGTCACAAGGGTCATTGTGGGTGGCGTCGGAAGGGGTAGATTTGTATTGAATGCAGGAATATTAAATAACTATATTATATACTTAAAAATACTGAAGATTCTTGAGGGGTGCTAGAAGTGGCTCTTTGTCTTTCTTTCACATTCAATTCTTCCTAAGTTGGAGCATCTCGTATCTGGCGCCGCTTGCGCCCGCCGCAGTGATGCTGCAGAATGCAGAGAGCCATTGTACAAGCGAAATCCTACACAAATCAGGAGCAAACCACGACAGCTACAATGATGCCCTCCACGAATAGCATCAGACTCTGTTTTCTGGTGTTTGCACGCACAAACTCAGAGCTAATCACACACGTAAGGACCTGTCTACTATCAGCACCATTTGGGTTTCCAAAAACACAAAGGACCCTCAACTGTGCTGCGGCGATGCCCCGTCTTGGATAAGGGTTGACTCGACCACCTGTGTCAATCTTGTTATGCCCCGCTTTGGATATTGCTTTGCAAGAGGATCTCCACACCTTTTTCACTCTTCTTCGCCTCCAAACCACCGCTGGGGAGCCGCTTTCGCGGCCGCTTTCTTTTCCTCCTCTCCTCTCTCCGCTCCTCATGGGCGCGGTGCATGGCGTGTCCTTGAAATATGTGGCCTTTGGCTCCATTGCTGCTTTGACGGCTCGCTGGATCACGCCGGTGGCATTGGAGGAGCTGATCTTTGAGGAAGAAGTGGAGCTGAATGGGTTCCTTGGGTTTTGAGATCGGAGACACGGGTGAGTTGGGGACATCGCTGTGGGAATGACGATTCAATGATGATTCCATGTGTTGCTAAGCTCATGTTTTGCTGAAAGCACTTCACCCCATGGGAAAGTGGTCACGTTCTCGGTGGGTGAACTCCTTTCTTTCGGGAGCATGTATGGCATGCGGAAGTCAACTCGTGAACATGGCAGAACTGTCCCAACTTTTCCACCCTAGAAGTGGCATGCTGCAGAGAAACATGTGTGCCACGTTTTCATCCATGGCTGTTGCTCTTCAGATCATTTGCAAGATACCATATACTTGGAGGGGGGTTAGCAGCCAGGTACACTTGATATTAATATACTATACGTATATCATCATTGAGACCGGTCATCCTGCCGCAGAAACCACCAATTGATCGGCCGTTCTGCCGACCACACTCCCAACCTGGCCGGCATCGCTGCTTCGGATCCCGGCAGGTTGGACAATTTGCAGTTGCTGTTCGGCCTGCTCCTTGGATTTGCTTGGTTGATTTCACTTGGAGACCAACACCGGGTCTCAGTTCGACCCAAAACCATCGTGGGTCTCGTGAGTCTCAGTGCTGCATGGGGGTCATGGGGTGGGGTTGCACCCACGGCACAAGGAACAACAGAATCATTCCAAGAATATCACCTCTCAAGTCGTTTGGTTGATGAAGTGAAGGGGCAAAACCTTTGGGCTTTGCTTAGATTTGGGATTTGGGATGCAGATCCATTCACATCCACCAGCCTCTTTGCGTTTCTTCGCGCATATCAGCGTCTTCGAGTCGTCGTGTGGTCTCCTCTGTGTCTGGCTTCGTGTTTTCAAGCGGGTTCAGACGGTTTCCTCGAGGTATTTGTACAATGTGAGCATCATCAACTTGGTCATTGCCATGCTCTTCAATCTCAAGCTCGGCATGGGCATCTTGGGGAAGGCGTGGCGTTTCCGCGTCGCCGCGCCCGAGAAGGGACGGGGCGAAGCGTCCTGTTTGGAGACCCTAACAGGTGAACCTGGGCACCTGTTGTCACCAGGAAGCACCTGTTGGATCCTGTTGGAGGGTCCAGGTATAAATACATCTATTATATATATATATATATGCATGGCTTTGAATGAGACTTGTCATGTGGAGGGGGCATTGTTTGTAGTGCTTGCCTTGCTGCCAGAAGGAAGCGTCCAAGCGTCCCCGGGCTTCCCTCTGGACGCTGCCAGTGGGCTTTTGCCAACCCTTTGACACGGCGGTTGACGGCGTTTTCCACGCTGTTGCCGTGGACCTTTCCGGGGCAACTTGTGGAGGTAGTTCATGGTACTTCGATACACGCTTCGTCTGACATGATTTGTTTTGGGAAAAGTCAAGGAAACAAGCCAAGCCAGCCTTTGCCATGACACTTGACATGCACAAACGGTCAGACGTTGGTGTACCGACAAACGTGGGATCAAAACCCATTGGGAGTTCCGGACATCTTCAAGCTGTTGGTGGGGTAGGTTTCCAGCAAAGACATACCATGGATGGAGTCTTAGGGTGTCACGGTTGGCAGTTCTGCCCATGTATTTCTTCTGTTTCAGGCGAATCGAAACCGGACCCGTCTTTTTTGGCATCTTTCTGAGTGCCTCGGACTCGGCCAAGTCTGAAACAGGGATCACCCTGACTGTTTCGTCGGCTTTTGGAGAGGATCACGCTGATTCGCTTTACAGGTGCCCCATGGTTCCATCGGTGTGATGGAAGAAACACGAGCGGACACGCCATCAGCTCCAGCGCTGCAGGACACTGCGACGGGTGCAATCCCACTTTGGTCTTATGTGGTTTTCTCAGGCGAGGTAGCTGTCGATTTGGTTGGAGTTTGGACACGGATTGTACGACACATTTTGCTTGGAACAGATAGACTACGGAAATTTGAAGAATGTCAACCAGATGAAACAATCTGAAAGAATGTACGAAGAAACAGACGGACATTGTGGAACCTTGCGAGTGACTAAAGAAGAGAGAGAGAGAGAGTAAAACCATGTCAAAGTTTGACTTCTGTTTGTGTTAAGGCCAAGGTCCACTTCAGCTGCGATTGAACAGTATGCTGTATGGTGAATGGGCAGAAATACACGTTTCTATCCAGGCTTCCACTGTCCAACGCTGGTCTACACCAAAATCCAGCACGCGCGAGACCAGAAGTCCGGAGTGGCACCAGCAGATGAAGTTGATCCAGGCTGGTGGGTGGGTGGCCGCTACAGCCATGAGCTCGGCAGGCGATGGGCAGGGACCATCGAAGCTTGGACGTATTGGTCAGAGCTAAACTGCATCGAAGCTTTTGAACATGTTTCCTTCGGATGGTTTTTCTTGAAAGTGCCAACTTCGCAAGATTCAACCATCGCATCTTTGGGGACGCGTTTCTACTTCTTAAATGTCTTTTTGAATGCATCCATTGGTTCAAAGTTCAACGTGACTGACTTCTTGCTCACTTCGATAGGAACACATCCGTCCAAGCAACTCTGGAGCCATCCCCGATGACAAACCGGCTTCAAACCGTTGACACCAGGGGGACCGACTGGTGACACCGGTGGACCAAGGACTTGACCTGTGAGTTCCCCGAGCTGAGCATCCAGGTCGGTCTTGGGAAGGCTGTCCGAAGGGTGAACCGAAGGAACAGGAAGATCCATGGAACGGGACTTCCCCTGATGTAAAGGATTGACATTTTATGGCTAGCGGTGCTACGCTAGTGACTTACATTGATGTGACTTACATGGCAAACGCTTCTACTTTGCTGCGACGGCTAGTAGGTTGCTGCTGTGACGTACATTTTTTTGGGGGGGGCGGCTCTCGTCTGACAGATAGACACCCCGATTGCGGACGACCATGAGCCAGAGTGTCATTTTTGGTCGTCTTCTCTCTCGTTCCCAGTGAAATTAGGGACTCCAAGAGAATCTGAAGTTTCCAGCATGACAAAATTACATAATATTATTGTATAGAACAAGAAACCGATCTGGGCTCAGGTGTATCCTCTTCATTTCTAGATGCATTTTCGGCACTTTTACCTTGGCTCCACGGGGTGCGATGAGCCGCTAAGACAAGAATCGAAGTCTGAAATTCAACCCTTGAGGCAAAACCACGACCCTGCAAACACTATGAATGATTGAATGACATAAACAGCCTAAACCGTGTACTTGCCATTTTCAGGACAAGTACTTGCTCGTTGAGTGCTGGGATGGGGTCCCTCCCACAGTGGAGCAGCTCGAGGAAGCTGCACAGTTTGCCGTGGCGCAACATGAACGAGGCTGCTCGGTGGCGATGGCCGAAGAGGTCGTCAGAAAAGCGCGGCCTTCGTCGGACTACCAATCACTTCTCAATGTCACCCCTGCACGGCTTTTTGATTGCGAAGTTCATCATTTTGCAGGTTGAAGGAATCTCTATATAGCTATAGCTTGCTTGTGCTGAAAAACCAATACAACACTAGCTATGGCTTCTTTTGAACACCAGCACCATCTGGCTTAAGCTCCGACCTCAGACCGGTGACGAGTCGGTGACCAGGTGACGTCTTAGTTCACTGTGCCCATGGCCGTGGCCGATCGACCACCACACTGTGCGCATGCCTGGTCCGTGCAGGGCGGTATCCGACCTGGGAGGACGGGACGTCGACCGCCGGGACGGCGTTTCGCCAAGCCACCGGGCATGGCATACAATGGCATACATATGTGCCACCCCATGGAGTGGTTGGGTGGGGGAGTGATGGAGTTGGGAGACACAACATGCCACTTGTGGAAGTTTCTCACCCCTTGGATGCGTTGAGGGAGGCTGGAGATGTCGGCGATGGAACCTGCCCATTTTATTTGGGTCAACACCACGAGGGGAGCTTCAACTAATTAGATTTGCACGAGCGTGTCACGAGCCAATAGCAAGATATTAAGATACCAAGGATCCCAAAAGCAGCTGGACCTCCCCCATCGTCCCCATGGTCAATTTGTGTCAATTTGCTTCATCTTGGTCTTGGTCTTGGTTCATCCGGGTCTTGACGGTCTTGGCCAGTGACCGTGGATGATGCGTTGAACAATCTGTCTGTGCACAGGATGCGTTTCTTGCCATCAAGCAGAAGCGCAAAGTGGTGAAGCTGAACCGCTCCATGAAGCGAGTGCTGACGGAGTGGCAAGCGAAGTACAGCACCAAGGTGAAATGAGCCGGAGAGCCTCCGAAATCTAGACATCAACTCTTGCCTCAGAGCAGGTCGAACAATTGATGTCTATCAAGACACTAAATGAATTTAAATGATCATGTGAAACCATGTTGCCTCGTTCAACGCTTCGTTCATTGACTCGTGACTGACCGGTCGTCCTCGGACGGACTCCGACGGATCCTCTCGGATCGTCTCGGGCGAGTGCCAAAAGGGACCGTCCGACTGGTAGAGTGGGGAGATGTGGGAAGCGTGGTTTTAGACAACACGCGCACACACATGCGTCTGCAACGGCTTGAACTCACGCGTCATGCAAAAATTCCTTCATCAGTGGTGGATGTTTGTTGCATATTTGAACCGGGTCACTTGGTTGTACACCCTGGTGCGCCGAAGATCATCCACCAAGAGGGACAACAGTCGATCTGCCACACTTGGGGCATGTGAGATCTGATCTCTTCTAAGGGCTCCTTGCCCCTTGCCCTACTGGCAGGTTGTGACTATTCTTGAAGCTTGAAGAACCTCTCAAAAGACTCTTCCAGCCTATAGCCGTAACCTGGCTGTCCTTTTCACCTTGATCAGGTTTTGGGTTCTTAGGGTTTCTGGATGTTCACTTACCAGCTGTGACGTATACTCCCACTTGATTGTACGTGGACGCAATCCAATCTACTTGTTGTTTCATCAACCACACCCAAAGTGCTAGCAACAGACCCCCTGGCAAGCTTTTTTCACATCCCGAATATGCTTGGTTGAAGCGCTGTGAGTGGCACTTGCAGAAAGTATAGGTCGAGACTCAGTTAGCATTCACGGCTTGAGAGTTAGACCGTAGAATTGTGCACAGATCTCATCATGCGACGTTTGACGTTCTCAACGTTCTTGGTCGGCATGGTGATTTCTCAGATGTTGCCGGAGGAGACCTGCAAGGAAGGCGAGGGCTCGACGCTGATGCAATGCAATTGAAGCACGGAGACTTCTCGTTTTCGTGTGATTTCACCTAAAATGGACCTAAAGCACCTGAAGCAAGCTAGAACCTTTGCCACATGGGACCGCATGTCTCGGCCAGCTTCGGTGGAGATAGTTTTTCTGGATTACCCCAGGAAAAAAGATGAAGGCGAACACAGAACTTCCTTGGTGGGCGTGGGTGAAGATCTTAGATGATGACAAAAAGCCAAAGCCGGAGAACGTCGTTCCTTGTGAAGACGCAGCGCCACAATCACCGCGGAATGTCAGTCGGGACTTCGTTGGTCAAGAGCTTCCTCGTGTGAAGCCCAGCGGTCCCTGTACGTGAAAGATGGGTGAGTCAGTACCGGGAATGATGTCCAACCAGCTCCATGTCGTAGGGCTGTGGCACGCTTCATCTCGGATGCAAATGCCACCTTCCTCGACAACTCTGCGACAACTACTACAACATGAGCCCAGCAGAGCCGTGAGTGACGTGAGAAATTTGAGTCACCAGAGACTTGACTCACAACTTTAGTTGGCTGGAATTTGGACTAGATTGGACCAGCTTCCTGCTTAAATCTTGTGAATGGCAGAACTGAACAGGGTTGAGCCAATTCAAAGAGGAATGTTTGTTTTGCCAGCCGTGGGAGGAGGTCTCTCCAAACATTACTTTTGCAAGCTTTTCACTGGACTATACATGTAACATTGGGAGCGGTTTTGGAGCAGACCTGGCTACAGCATAGCAGACTTGCTTGAAAGTACGAAGTGAAGCAGAACATCGCATGTTCGTGGTGGGTCTTTTCTTTTAGATTTACCAGGTTGCTTAAACCTGCTTGGGTTCGTTGTTCGGGCACAAAGCCTTGGCAACGGCTTTGATTCGCGCCAATAGCCTCAGTGGCTATTTCTTTTGGCCAATAGCGTAATTAACAAGCATTCTAATGGCTGCGCATGAGGCCCCGGAAGTCCATAGCGCAGTTGTCAATATATAGGTCAGTTCAAGCATGATCATTTCCTTGAAGTCATTGGAAGCTCTAATCTGCGGCCTCCGAAGTACCCGTCTTGCACGGTGCTTTCCCATAAGTCTCAACTTAACTAGCTTCACTTCAAGATCGGATAATGCTTATCGTGTAGCACCGTGCTGAGAGATGTTCAGAGACTGGCATGCTTCAGGTTCAAGGCCTTACCAGCAATGTAGTTTTCTTGCTGGATGAGTATGAGCCAAGTCTGCCCACAAAGGCTAAGGATTCGGGTCAACCAGTGGTCAGCTTTTACAGATGTTGTTTGAGTGGGTTTGGTCGCGCGGGTTTATTGACATGAGGTTCCGGCGTTCCGAAATATATAGCGCAAAAGCAGCCTAAGTGCAGAGGAAACAAGGCAATGCTTTCCCATTAAGCGCTTGCTGCATTTCAACATGTTCGGTGACATGTGAGACATCGAAGTGTTTTGGTGAACTTCAGAGCACTTTCAGTGTGATCTATTTTCTCCCGGGGGCCGAGCGCTGCCTTCAGAGGCAACAGTGACCCACCGTGGACGCGTCCACCTTTGATTTGTCCAACGGCTGTAACCACCACCATCAATGTGCCAGCACGTCCAAACACCAGCTCACACCTTGATATTGTGGTAGTCGGTCATGCTATCCTTCATTACTATCATTATTGATATCCACCATGTCCTTTTCCGATGGGATCTACTTGGTCCAGTGCTGACCTTTTGGAAAGCCTTCACCTTCATCCCCTCTAAGGCCTCTTCCCTGTGGGCGTGGGCCAAGGGGAAGCAACGGACGATACCCAGCCACTGAACGGCAAAGGGTTTGGGGGCAGATGAAAAAGGGCAACATATTTCCGGAACCTTGGTCCGGCTCAATGATTCCAAGTGTCATGGCATGGCATCTCGTTATATGTATTTTTAGTTTCCAGGTTTCCGGGCCGGTACAGCAACCTAGGAAATCCACATCTCATGGGTCCAGCAACTACGAGGCATAAGCACCTCTCCTTTCACAGGGTGTCAAATGTTAGGAATTGTGTTAGGATGTTTTATGATTTTGTGGGGGTTCTTCGGCAAGCATGCCAGCCTGGAACCAGTAGCCTAGGATTTAATAGGTTTTGCCAAACAACCATTGTTTTATTATGGGTTTTACACTACAAAGCCAAGGTCAACCACTTCTTTACATAGTCATTCAAGTGCTGCGGGTCTAAGCCTTCAAAACACCGCTGGACCTGCTGGGCGAGGCCCGGGCAGAACTTCGTGGAGATCTACTTCAAGACGTGACCTGGCAGCACTTGGACCGCGCGTTCTTTCGGACCCTTTCGGCACGGAATTGGAGTCCGTTGGCATGAGAAGGATTCGGAACAGGGAAGGATTCGGCCAATTCCCGAAATCAGTTCCGCAAGAGTCAGACTATTCTTTTGAGAGGGTCTTTCACTCTCAAAGTGCTGACAAACCATAAAAATATACCGCCCAGGCTCAGCTCGGAAGCAGCAACCAATCGGCCGGAAGCGTCCATCACTTCGATTCAACGGAACAGGTCGAGCCTGCGAGGACATGTCGCGCAACGGAAGACTGGATGGGGTTCCCCTTGTCAGTGGGGTCATGTCCATGCGGCCAAGCCAAAGAACACCACGGTGAAAGTGCTCCGATGGATAGTAGTAACAGGTGCCACGCTACTAGTAACAATGTTCACAGGTCACATCAATGAAATTCTTATTGTTACTAGTAGTAAGGCACTTGTTCCTAGTAGCTTCTTGTTACTACTAGTAAGGCACTTGTTACTAGAAGCGATGCACTTGTTACTAAGCCGCTCCTGAAAACTGTCCAGGGCTGATGGAGCGGGTGTGGGCTGAACTTGCTGAAGTGCCGCTCCAGGCACTCAATCAGTGCATGCCCCACAAGTGAACAACATGATGCGCTCTTGCAGGCTCTTTATATATACAACTAATTAATCCCTTGGGTCAGGGCATTGAGGTGTTTTGCAGATCCATTTCAGGCAGAGAAGGATTCGATGCACATTCCGCACATTCATTCATTCATTGCTTCAGGAAGTTTCTGCGGGTCAGGGTTTTTAAATGTTTTTTAATCTTTGTGCGCTCGTATACTCTTGTCCATCCATTTTCGCAGGGCATCGCTAGTAACAAGAAGCTAGGGTGGAGGCCATTACCACTAGCAGCCTCCAAAGCTAATCCTTTTCAGCCCCAAAGTCGACCGGTCGAAGGTCGAAGCTCGGGCTTTGACTCCCGAGGTTCGTGAAGCCTTCGCAGCAGCGACGGCCTCAGTGCGAACGGAAGGTGACCTCGACCTGTTGCGCAACCTGCCGAAGGTGGCTTTTGGAGACTTTTGTCAGACAGTCAGAGTTAGACATATCAGTATTTGATGCATGCATGATGTCAGAATATGTTTGACTGCATGTTACAGGATATTTGCGGACGTGCCGAAAAGAAGTAGGGTTTTCTCCTGAGATTTATCATGTCAAACCACGGAGGGTTCTCCCCAAACAGTTTTTCTATTTTGTTTGTTGGCAAAGAAGACACATCCCGGTTGGATCACCTGCCCTCGTTTCCGCCGAGGTACCGCGTTTGGTGTGTGGAGGGTTCGGCCCAGTGGGCATCCCGGGTGGTGCGGCGGGGACCGAGTCGGAGAGTTATGTCGTCATCATGGCAAGGTCAAAAGCTCCTTGACCGGTGTGTCTAAAAATTGAAGAATGCACAGGAAGCAAACCATCGTGAATTGTGGACCAACGTACCTTTTTGAGACAGATGCCATGAATTCCAGTGAAGCCAAGCAGTCATCCGCAGTCATCCAGCACGATCGGAGGGTGTCCAACAATGAATTTGCTTGTTTGGCAAAAAGCACAACACGATTGGAATAGAATGCACTGGTTTACACAGTCCATGTTGAACAGATTGGTGTCTCAGAATCTTTTGAGTTTCCTGAGGCACCTGGGCAAAAGTCTCCGGGAAACCACTGTGTAGTAGTATAAGTTACTTCTGATGCTCAGCTGCTAGCTTTTTTTAGTGTCAGAAATGACACGCCACCTATCAAGATGAGTAAATCTTAAATACATTGAAACTCAT